CACCTACTCCACCCAGCGGGAACTCTAACTGATGGTGCCACCTACTCCACCCAGCGGGAACTCAAACTGATGGTGCCACCTACTCCACCCAGCGGGAACTCTAACTGATGGTGCCACCTACTCCACCCAGCGGGAACTCAAACTGATGGTGCCACCTACTCCACCCAGCGGGAACTCTAACTGATGGTGCCACCTACTCAGCCTGGACATTCTTACTGATAACTCTTTTTGATAAAACTACAGCTGACTAAGGGTCATGACAACAACTTTCTTGCGTCGGCTTTTACTCAAACGTGTCAGAGCCAAGATGCCGTTGGATTATTTGATAGCTAAGGAACAGTTCAAGCCTGAAGCTACAGACTTCTTAACGCGCAAGAAATGATAAAGGAAGGAATATTGCGGGGATGAGGGTAATTTTGCTTGCATCTCATTGTTGCAAAATATTTCTGATAAACACACATTAGCTTAGGGCATCACCCCAGGCGGTCAGTGAACTTATTTTGGAGCTGATTTGCATCGCAGTTGCTGTTTATGCCGGGATAGTGACCACTTAATGCCCCATGTAAAAATACATAATGTATTTGCGCATGGTCGAGTGAGCGGGCCCTCACACGTTGTTTACAGACTGACTCGGCTTTGGATCCATGTAACATGACAGCCAGAATGGGGTTGGTTTTCGTATCAGTGTGGTTTGCCAAAATCAAGCTGGCGATGGATCAGAAACATCACTCAGGTCGACATCGCTGGGGGGCTTGACTGGTTCAAGCCACGACAGCACGTGGCCGGGGGATATCTCAGGGGGGAGGGGACGCGGAGGAAGAGAGGCTCATGCGTCCAAGAGTGCAGCACGGCACGCCTGAACCTCCCAATTATCTGCAAGATTAGTGCAACGGTGTATGATTAAGATAACGCCGAAAGAAAATACATTGATGTGATCGCGTAAAACAGGATCGGCTTAGTGATCACCCACTGACAAGGTGATAAGACGTTCGAGTACAACACATTCTCGCTCAGTGGATTACCGACGATTCATTTCCATTCGGTAACGCGCTGTGAATCGTGGACTGTGAACCATGGGCTGTAAACAGCTCCAGGGCTCTAAGCACTTCCGCGCCGGAGGCACAACAACGCGATGTCAGTACTGGTGACACATCCCACCAGCGGGTGCACCGCCACCGCCAGGTGCCAATGGTGCGGTGCCAGTGCTGGTGACACACCCCACCAGCTGGTGCACCGCCACCGCCAGGTGCCAGTGGTGCGGTGCCAGTGTCGGTGATGCGCTTCGCCAGGCGGTGCACAGTCTCCTCTGCACCCCTGCCAGTGGCGCGGTGTCCGTGTTGGTGACACGTCTGCCAGGTGGTTGGTGCACCGCTGACGTGGGCCGGGGCTGCGACAATTCGGGACGGCCACCGGCGTCATGGCGGCGTCGCCTGCCAGATACGCAGGGGCGGTGCCAGCGCCGCCGCGGCGGGGGGCCGACTGGAGCTCCGACGCTCCCCTGGCCGGCCCACCGGCGGCGGCGTCGCCGACAGGCTGTGAGGGGCTCGCCGTCGGGCGGGGTGCAGGACAGCGAGAGCCGTGAGCTGAAGCAGGACGGTGACGACGGAGCGTAGGAGCAGAGCTGGCAACCAGACTGGGCTGTGCATGGGGAGCGGAACTGGAGCTGGATGCTAGGGAAGAATTGGAGGAAGGGATACTAGTGTCGAGGTAGATGACCCTGTTGGGAGATTTGAACACCAAGACACGGCTTGCAGAACCACGTTCGCAAAGTTGGGAGAGTTTCAGATAGACTGAGGTTGTGCCAGTGATGGGAATTTGCCACGATGAATGGGAAACAAGTGGAACAAAGTGGAGATGTATCGCGTTATCGATTTTAGCCGGTCACAAAGGATTGTAGTGACACTGGAGCAATGGCTGCCCGGCGGAGGATGACAACGACAGGCCATGCTGAGGGCCGGCGCAGGTGACAGAAGAACGCTAGCAACTGAACAGAAAACAGAACTGGCAGAGCATGCTTGGGTGGTTGTAGCATTTGGCTCCAGGTGGGAGGAGATGTTTGAAGTGTGCTGGAAAGCGGCGTAGGAAAAACGCTGGAGATGCGGAAAGGCGCGTAGACCGTGCTTCCGAAAAAGAGAAATGGAGTTATGCATGAGAGGGTGAGCTGGAACTGGTGCATCGTATCAGAGGAATCTGGAAACGTAGTGGAAGGCTCCTGCTCGCGTGGAAGCGTAAGTGCCATGGCTGACAGCCAACTGGACTGATCGGTGCGCTGTTTGTGGCCGTGGCCTATTGGGTCAGCGAATGCTCCAAGCGCCCGCTGGACAGGCAGCTGCCTTCCCCGCAGTCGGCAGCGGAGTGGCAGGCGGGCTGCTGGAACCGCGCCGGTCTCGGGTCCCGCCGGGCCCAGACACGGGACCCGTGACGGCCGGTCCGCTGTGGCGGGGCCCAGCCGCCTGGAGCGGGCCCAGGGACGCTCGGAGTGTCACCTCGGGCCGCCGCCGCCGCATTCCTTGGCACGCCGGGCGGCTGGCCCGGATGTCAGTCCCAGCCGCCGTCCTGTGCCCAGCCCGTCCCCAGCCCGAGCCGTCCCGTGCCCAGCCCGTCCCCAGCCCCAGCTGTGATTAGCGCCGGTGGGCGTTCCTTCGGCCGCTCTGCTGATGAGTGGGCGTGCGAGTTCGTCAAAGGGGGACAGGATGCAACCTTATCATGATAAGTTCATCCAGTCTTTACCAACCTTTTTAATCTCCAGCCCAAACTGGAATTTTCAGGCGATTCTTCTGATCATCGCCGTGCAACTGTTGGTACCGCGCATGGTCACAAATCGTTTCGACAGTAATTTGGATAATGGATTTTGAACGCTATCTCTGAATGTAACTGCAACAATTCTGGAAGCCGCTGTTTCTTTATTTCATTTACTAAGATGTCATAAGAAGTGTCATGTGTTTCAGCCGTGTTAAAGCAGTATTTGCCACTGGCTACATGGACAGGGTCTTGACAATTCCGCTGACTGAGTATGTCATTCAGACCAGCGACCATACCGTAACAACTAAGCGCTAAATTTTGCGACAGTGCCCTTGCCTTTGTGAGCAGGTAAGGAAAAAAGGGGCCAATTAAATGAGTTATCAATTCTAGCTGGTATGACCTTTAGAAATAAGGCAAGCTTCAAATGTTTTCTTCTGGCATCTCAATAAAAGACTTCGCCGGGGATTTCAGTCACACCACAAAATAAAAAAAACGCGATCGCTTTTACAATGTGAATTTGTGTTAACGATCAAGGGATTTAACGGAGGATTCATGAGAATGCACTACACCGAAGAACTGGAAAGCGAACATCAGTGCTTGGAGGTCAATGCACCAGGTGAACGTCATGCATCGGTAAGCAGTTCGCACTACCGTACACCGCGAAGGCACTGAGCAACTATCGAAACTTTCATGTGAACGTAAGCAAAATGCATTGTTTACAAAAAGTGCAACGCACTTAGCTCGATAGCTTAGCAAAAATAACCGAAATTTAGAGACCTCAAGTTTGTGTCGGTCTCGGTATTCACATCACACCGAGCGCCGAATATTTCCCGTCAATGGTGCGTGCATGCGTTTCCCTAATGTAGATACATACAGCGTCAGTGGTGTTCAACCCAATCCCTCCACGCTTCATCAGCCACAGCAAACGTGGTAGGTATTGGTACCATAGCCGTAGCATCTCGAGTCAAGTAACGTGGCCCATGATTGGTGTCGTGTCAAGTAACGTGGCCTCTGATTGGTCAGTGGTGCGTGTTCCGGCGATGGACAACTGTGTTGGAGCAAGCTACCATGCTCGGGGATAGTGTTTGATAATTGACACTGATCTGTGTAATGGGAATATGCCTCATTGTTTGGGTCCTAGATGGCTCTTGCCGGCTGAATTTGACTGTAAGCTTGTTTCGCGTTTGAAATCACCTTTTTACCGTTAAATACCGTTACTTTACCGTTAAATTTTAAAACACCGCTTGTTGCAGCGTCATTCGAAGGCATTCGTTTATGCGTTGATTCCATGCTGTAATGATCTGATAATACTGATTTCACAAAAGCATTGATCACGCACACGTTTTCGCGGCGCAGAATGCAGCAAAGCCTCTGCGAGAGGAGGAACGCTCTTGGAGTATGTCATTGACCATACATTATCATGGGGCTACCTGGGCGCTTACAAAGACTCTCATTACGCGGGTCTCACTGTCTTCGACGCCGCGGGCAGTCTGTAGCAAACCCCTCCCCCCTCCCTCCCCCACGCTCTCTGTGTTCTTGTACTTCAAGCGCATTGCAGGCGTCGTTCATTCAAAAGCAGAGGGTCACATTTATGGTCCGGATTTATATGTACTCCTACATGTGACGATTGTGCCCGTCCGTATCAGACCGAAAATCCAGCTGTCTCGTTCTTCCTCGACAGCCCAGATAGTTCGTGATCGCTCCCCGTGTCATAACAGGCGATCCAAAAGTCTGATGGTCGTTGTGGGCACCGCACGCTGGTCAGGTGCCAGAGCCAGTGGCCGTCCATCCGTTTCGGTACACTGGCTTGCCGGCCGCCACACTCACCTCCATGCGTGCCAGAGCCATCTGGTCGGTGTGGAACTCCATCTGCACATCGGAGCTCCCACCGCCGGTGGAGGTGTACGTGTACTTGCGGGTGGTGGTCTTGGAGCTGGACATGGTGCAGGCGCGTGGCTGGGTGGCGCGTGGAGAGCAGAGCTGTCGGCCCACCGGCGGTCTCCGTCTGCCAACAGACACACCCGCGCCCGACGCACGCCCCGGCAGCACGTCCTCGAGTCGAGCTCGCCGCGACGATGGCGACGGCCCGTCCGGCGACAGGGCGCATGCGCCCACCACGCTCAGGTTACTAAAGAAAGACCGGGGGCGAGCCTTTTATAGGCTGCCGTCTGGCTTTACGACGGTCGCCGGCGCCGTCGTGGTCGCCTGTGATCGTGACTCATGACCCGGTGACCCGCGGTCCGCGCTGGCCGTCCCGGTCACCTGCCAGCCGGTCAGCCCAGGTCACCGGCCCCGCCGTGGCCGTTGTAACCAGGCTGTCACATGCCGCCGCTGCCCGCTAAACTGCCCAGAAACGGCCGAAAGTCATTTTGACAGTTTGCCGCGACCGGCGTGTCCGCGTGCTTCGCTCGCTGGCGATGTCTACGTCTGCTCGTCACCGCTGCGGGTGCAGGATCGAACGAGCCGGGATCGACTCTGTCAGTCTTGGTCCTCGGATCTTTTCGGAATCTTGACCCAATTTAGAAGTGTTGTGGGCAAGTCTTGTATGATTCAGGATCCCTTTAAAAGGTTTTGGTGGAAATCCTGTGACCTGTCATATGCTATGTAGTTTTTGCTGCCGTGTCTTCTGAGATCTGTGATCACAGCATGTGCTTTTATACCAAAAGATCCTTCGGAACTTAGCATTGCTTGGAAATTTTGGCCTTGTAGTCTACCAGATTCATTCAGGAAAATGAAACCGCCTTTTCAAAAATAACTCCAAGTCAGACCAAGGCCAAGGTGAACGTTCCACTTCTAAGATAAAAGCCCGTAAGGTTGCAGCAGGTTGACCACATTGCATACACAGGCATACACAGGCATACCACAACCTCTGCCATATGCCCACTCATTCAATGGCATTGCAAATGATGAAGGAGGTTTATGGCAACCTAGCGCACTGGAAGACTGTTTAGCTACTTGAAACTGTTTCTTACGTATTGAACTTGGAATGCACTACAAGGGTGTTTCGATAATTTTATCGCGTAGACAACACTAGACCAGCTCTCATGAAGCTACATGTATCGGAAAACATTAAACGGGTCTTACCAGTACCTGGAAAAATCCTTCTTCCGTAACAAACCAATAGATAGAGGTGACGGTAACATTCTAGCCGCTTGTACACTAACAACGTTTTTTGGAAAATTGACGACCTGTATGGTTCTGGCCAGGTTAGCCATTCCGGTCTAAAAAAAATGATTTATGGTAATCACCTACGTTTCAGGAAATGTGGCCAAGCTAGTACAAGAGGCCTAAATATTGTGGACGAATGCTAGTCGCGATGGACTGGACTGCACGTCTAGGCAATTCTCGCGAACTGCTTAATCTTTCTCGTTCCCAATCTCTCTCGGTTTAGACCGCAGTGCGGTTGTATCGAAATCACTTTCACAAGAAATGGTATTCGCTGATTCCGGCCGATGACCATGCGCCGATCGGTCAGACCAGCGCCTGAAATCTTTTGGTGATACACGGTAGTGCATCGCACTGGCAGCACGACTGCTTTTCACATTTTCACGCCTTTTTCTACGCTGGTGGCCGAGGGTGACGACAGTCTTTTAACTGCGCACAACGTCTCCACATTTGCCAAGCACGTTCGACCGCCGCCTTTTTTCTCCCCCTCGGTTAGAATGTGTTGGACACGTGCTGATGTGACGTCAGATTGATAATATGAGGACCCAATCTCAAACCATGTCCTGAAGTCTTTTCTGCTTTTAGCGACAGTTTGTTATTTCCATGCAATCAAATGCGAAGACATTGGCTCCTCGCATGCAATGCTTCTAAAATTGCGCTACGGATCTAATGGGCTTGACACGTGGTCGTGACTAACTGGCGGCTGCATTATTGTCTTTAGAACTTAAAGAGCATATTCTGGAATGAATGGAATTCCTTTGTGTCGAAAACAGTGTAAGCTACAAGCAGTGGCTGGCCTCGAGGTGTTAGACACCTAATGGGTACCTCACCACCTCCTTCAACCCTTTTATGCCGTGAATATTGATCATACCATCCTGTTTTGCTTTATCAGAACAATTTATCGCATTATGTTAGATTTCACATGTTTCACGATTTGGTTTCACGCGACAAAAAACAGTTGACATGACGGCCGTCTCGGAAGAACAGTCCACTACGGGATGCTCTATTCGGCGTCCTGTTGATAAAACCTTCCTCGCCACCCTCGGCGGCGGCAATCCGCCTCTGGGTTCGGCTTCCTCGACCTCAGCGACCTCCTCCTCCACCTCCTCCGCTACCTCCTCCTCCTCCTCAACGGCGGCCGGCTCCTCAGCTGCAGCTTCCTCGGCTTCCGCCAGGGGCGCCTCGGTCGCCTTCTGCAGGTTGTACGTGCGGGCCCGGGCGCCGCAATAATGCCGAGCACCATAGACGGGCGCTTGGTGGTACACGGGAACGGCATGGTACAACGGCCTGGGGTGGTATGCGGGCGCGTGGTGGTAAGAGGGCGCCGGCTTCTCGTACTTGGGAGCGGGCTGGTACTCCTTGGCTTCACCCTCGTAGGTGACATCAGCGTCGTACCCCTGATCGCCGACCACGCTGTACTGTACCCGCTGCACGCGGCCGTCGGGTAGCAGCACGTGGTACGAGCCGGTCGTTTCGTAGCCGTTTCGGCTCTCCGTCTGGCCGTAATCGAGCCCAGCGTATTCGTCCGAGACGGCGTACTGGTACTCGTACTGGACCGGTGCCTTGGTGGCGTGGTACGGAGGAGGCGGGGCCGAGAAGACCACGGCCGCACCCAGCAGCAGGAACGCGATGGGAACCTGCCAGCGCGGGAAAACATCCTCTGAGATATTAGCGGATAGTACACAACAGATGGTCGCGGTAAGTCGTAGCAAATGTAGCACAATGTTTTCCAAGGTGACACAAGCGTGGCAAATATTTAATTACAAAGCTGCATATATCTGCACACACTGCAACACAAATGGAAATGCTTCATCGTGTAATTACGATGAGTGGAAGGTGAGTCAGACTAGATAGCTTATACGGAGATGCAAGCGTGGTTGTCTTATGCACGCATTTTCCTCACCTTGGAACACATATTGGCTTTGTGGTAGTTGGGAGCTGAACTGATGCTAACGCGTCGGCCGGTGCAGGCTGTATACGAGTCCCTCCCGGCATTGACCCAGTGGCCTTGACACCCCCATGTCGGTCATCAGAGCATCTCGGGTTCGCCGAGCGGATGAGGTTGCGAATATTGCCCTCATTACTCTCCTTGAGGCTGATATGATGAGATATACACTTTCCATTTCATGATCTGTTCGCGTTTAAGGTTTAAATACCCTACTTTTAGGCGGCCTCCCCAATAGCAATTGAAAAATCGAGTTCTGTAATGCAGTTCCGAAGCTCAAACCTTGCCTGCATCAGAGATACACTGGTTATGCCTGCCTGATGTTTCAGCTATCCTGTTTCGCCGTAGGTTCGTTGCAAGAAACCCACGCCGATGCGGTGCAAATAAAAGCTATGAGGTAAAAATATGTGCCTGCACCTGCGCTTGGTTGCGGTTTGCCCAGATCTCCATCGATTTCATATTCAAGTGCAGCTCATTTCCAGAAGATAGCTTTAAAGCTGTGTGCCTGTGCTGACGGACACTGATAAGATGCATCTTTTTTGTCTGGTCAAACTTGTGCGCTCTCAATTCGTTAAGATAAGCTAATCTGGAAAAATCGACCCCCTGCACAGGGCATCTTGGGTTCGCCGAGGGGATGAGACTGAGAATATTTCTCTTTTTGTGGCTGATGTGATGATATATACATGTTCCATTTCATGATCTACTCACGTTTAAGCTTAAAATACCATAATCTTGAGCAGGCTACCCCGTCAGCACTTGAAAAAAACCTGGTTTGTAATGTAGTGCAGAAGCTTTAACCCTGCCCACATTAGACTTAGTTTTGTTAGGCGTGCATGATGTTTCAGCCATATTGGTTCGCCTAGGTTCATTGCAAGAAGCCCACGCTGATGCGGTGCAAACAAATGCCACGATATTAAAATGTCTTCTTGCACCTGCGCTTGGCTGCAGTTTCATCTTAATCATTTTTTCCCCAGATCTCCATCGATTTAAAGTTCAAGTGGGGCCCATTTTTGGAAGATAGTTTCAAAAACCTGTGTGTCTAAGCTGACCGACACTGATAGCATGCGTCGTTTCTTTTTTTTTGTCTGGTCAAATTTGCGCTCTCAACTCGTTTGGATAAATTAGCCTGGAAAACTTGACCTTCTGTACTGGATATCTTAAGTTAGTTTGGCTCTAATATAGAATACGTTCCACACATGAGTCGTGATGTTTGTACTGTCAAGCCTAACAAAGCCCCATGAGAAGCATTATATTGTTGTAGCTAATCTCTCCTTCGATTGACTTAAGTCATACACAACTTTGTATGCCTAAGTTGAGTGAATCCGTATTGCACAACTTAAAAAGACAATAGCTTGGTATCCTACTGCAGAGATTGAAGCTTTCAGCTTCCCAAATGAGTCAAACCTACGCAGGTGTGTAATGTTGGTCGAGGAAGCGGACTTGTGGCTTGGCATGCTGCATTTTCACTAGTTAGATTCAATAGGACTTTGTCATGGTCTTTTACTGTGGTCTTTGTCGGTTGATATATTGTGTACTCTTCAAGCGTAGCTAATAAGCAGCCAAATTTATCATAAATGAAAACTGCATGAAGCTATAGTAAACAATTGCCAAAATAGTTGCATCTCTAATAATAACGGACAGACCTGGATGTCCGTGAGCTAGCAATTTATCAAGCGATTTATTCAGCGACGAGTTCTGAATTGTCTGAAAAAGGGTTGTAGGGTCGATTGCGGCAGTAGAACACCAAAAATACCCTTATTTTGCAACATCATGTGACCTTCAAGGTCAAAAGCTGAGTCAAAGGACGGGGAGCTCGATATTACTAAAAAATTACCTGCCGACTTTCAATTTCCAACTGTCAGAATATTCACTACAGAAAGAACTAGCGTCAGTCAGAATGTCCTGACCTCTCAAGATCACCATTCAATGTCAAACGAGGTATGAATAAATCAAGGTCTGAATAAATCGCCAACTTCACGGACTCGTAGTCCACCGACTGCCCACCGCGGTTTTAATTATCGTCGTGGCGGGTGCGCCACTGGCTAAAAACACTTCTTAAACACATTTCTCTTGCTAACATAATTCAATGTCAAGCCTGATCGTAAAGTTTTCAAGTTGTTTATACCTTTGACGTTGTCAACTTTATGATTTTAGTAGCAGGATACTTCGCACAATGTTTGAAAAAAATATCCGCTTTTCGAGTGGCAAAATGAGGTGGGAAAACGAGAGATAGTTGAAAGGAAAGCATTGGCCATTTGGTAAATCTCCATTGCAAATAAAATAAAGTTGTCAGTCGCTCGAAGACAAACATCGTCGGCATGGGTGGAGAAAAGAGGTGGGCTGCGTGGGAAGGAGGAGGGGAACGGCAGCTTCAACTCATCGCTGAACTTCGGCCTTTTCGTACGCCCCTCAAGTTGTGATTAGAGGTCATGTCAAACAATGCAAAATGATTTTTTTCCGGTTTTGGGAGCTGACTCGCCATGTAGAGAACGCTTAGGCTCACCGCAAAAGTAGGCTCAGTTGAACTACTTTGCATTTTATCATTTCGAGCTCCAAACAGTCATGAATTATCCACACACTGGGTTGCTACACTTTGGTGTGTTTTGTCGCAGTGTTAACACTGGCTTTCGCCGGGTAAAAGATGCGTTAATTTTTGCTGTTGAAAAATGCCTACAGCTGGCACGTACTCTTCGCCGTCTGATCTCGAATTGAGGATAACATGTGAAGTAATTCAAATAAGCCTGCTTTTGCGGTGAGCCTAAGCGTTCTATACATGGCGGCTCAGCTTCCAAAACCAGGAAAAACTAACCATTTTGCAGTGTTTAACTTGGCCTCTTTCAAAAATTGAGCAACGTACGAAGAGGCCGAGATTAAACAAAGAACTGAAGATGCCGTCCCCCCTCCTCCTTCCCACGCGGTCCACCTCTTACATCCACCCATGCTGACGATGTTTGCATTCTAGCGGCTCCCAACTTTACCTTATTTGCGACGGGTATTTTTAGATTAAGCCACAGAAACTAAATTTGCGTAGACCCAGTACACAGCCTTCTGTCTTATTACGTGTTAGTTAAGTGTCTTATCTGTTGCTAGTGGACAGCAAAACATGATGTTTTTCGTAAAAATAGAACTGAAAACCTTTTCACATGACGCCATGCATAGGTAAGTGACTTAAAGTAGTCTGGGACCATTTTCTCCAGACATGCTGAACGTAGAAGCCTTAAATGTTCTTCAGAAATTGATACCAATGTGCCTTTACCAATAATGTGTGGTGCCGCAGATTGTTCTTTTTACGGCAGCTACACACTCGCTGCCTGGAGAGAAACTTGGCCTACTGCCTTGACAGGCTATGATTCATGCTCTACGGGAAATATATACATTGTGTGAGGTTTTTAGACTAAGATAACCATGTTGAAGATCATTTAGTGTAGTTCACGCTCATGCCCCTCCTAAGACTTAAACCTTCTGTTTTCTGAGCAAGGCGTCTACGAACTTTTGCAGCATAGAGAAGTTGAAATACTTCGAGTGAGTCAGTCCGTACCCTGCGATTAGAATTTCGAACGGCTAGTATGGGAGCCCCTTTGATGGCATGCAGTAATCTCATGACACAATCAAACCATGACGTGTTAATGAACATGTCCACAAACTTCTGAGCTTTTGCTGTCTAGAACAATTGTTGCGCTTGAAACATCCCAAAATTGACACGTGAGCTTACTTCATCCCATCTGATGCTTGCTCCAATGCCTTTATATCTGACAACTTCCCTTTAAAACCAAGTTAAACCCAACAAAGTATGCGCATCCTTAAAAAAATAAACATCAGTGATTACCCTATTCACGCGGTCTACCGGGGAAATGGCCTAGGCATATGTAAGTATTTAACTGGTGTTGTTTGGAAGAAGAACTGTTGTGCTTAAACTGCCGACATCATGTTCAATCCATTATATTTCGCAATTAAATAAAAACAGTTGACATAACGCCGTCTCTGCAGAACACTCCACTACAGGGGGCTCTATTCGGCATCCTGTACATAAGCCTCCTCGCCACCCTCGGCGGCAGCTTCCGCTTCTGTCTCGGCCTCCTCGGCCTTAGCGGCCTCCTCTTCCACCTCCTCCGCTACCTCCTCCGCCTCCTCAACGGCGACCGGCTCCTCAGCTGCAGCTTCCTCGGCTTCCGCCAGGGGCGCCTCGGTCGCCTTCTGCAGGTTGTACGTGCGGGTCCGGGCGCCGCCATAATGCCGAGCACCGTACGCGGGCGGTTGATGGTACACGGGAGCGTGGTGGTAAGAGGGCGCCGGCTTTTCGTATTTGGGAGCGGGCTGGTATTCCTTGGCTTCACCCTCGTAGGTGACATCGGCGTCGTACCCCTGATCGCCGACCACGCTGTACTGTACCCGCTGCACGCGGCCGTCGGGTAGCAGCACGTGGTACGAGCCGGTCGTCTCGTAGCCGCTTCGGCTCTCCGTCTGGCCGTAATCGAGCCCAGCGTACTCGTCCGAGACGCCGTACTGGTACTCGTACTGGACCGGTGCCTCGGTGGCGTGGTACGGAGGAGGCGGGGCCGAGAAGACCACGGCCGCACCCAGCAGCAGGAACGCAACGGGAACCTGACGGCGCGGTAAGACATGCCAGGGAACATTGGAAACAGTGCATAGGAGCTAATGATGGTACGCAATAGCAAATACATCATGATGGTGTGTAGAACGGTGACACAAGCGCGGTAAAGATTTGATTACAAGGTAATATGTGTCTGCGCATACCACAGCGAAAGTATGAATGTTTCATCGTGTAATTCCAATGAGTGAAAGGTGAGTCAGACTAGATAGCTTATACGGAGATGCAAGCGTGGTTGTCTCATGCACGCATTTTCCTCACCTTGGAACACATGTTGGCTTTGTGGTAGTTGGGAGCTGAACTGATGCTAACGCGTCGGCCGGTGCAGGTTTTATACGAGTCCCTCCCGGCATTGACCCAG